GCAAAGGGGTGCGCATATAAGTTTACAGATGCTAGGACCTGACACTACTCCCAAGTTTGATCGAGAGTATCGCCCGCCATCTTCTCGCCGCCTTTGTAGGTATCTGCCAATAGCACTTTGTTGGCTGCGTCTCAGGTGTAAAAAGTATACGCACACTCGCGCTTTGTGAGCGTTTCGTGCGAACATGCATCTATTGATGGGCCCTTTAGAATATGTGCCAACGTTTGGCAGCTTGGCAACCACGGACACCATTCCTTGGTTTTATGAACATCTACCAGAAATATTTCGCTCAGTCAATGTTGTGATCATACGTATTCTGGTTGGTACCTTTTGCGAACACATGGTCCACCTGTAATATAGTGATCTCCCATTCCATACCTTTATAGTGAAATGAGAGGTTTACGGTCTCAAAGTTCGTATTCTAGAATGTCGTCAAAATTTTGTTCGTGTGGTGTCAAGCTATCCAAACAGACGTCTCCACAGATAGAAACTTGCAATTCTCACCAAATATTTTTCATCCGTTGCTGAGACCAGCCAATGCTCTGGTCATATTGCTTAATGTTTATGCTGTTAGCTAGTGCGTGGTTCGATTGTGACAAAACGACTGTCCCTTGTAAGCCATGGATATAGAATGAGAGAAGAGCAGTCTAAGAGGTTACGTTCTATAATGTAAAACATAATTTACTGAAAGCGCCCTCAGCTTTGCAACGCGATGTCGAGCTATGTACACCATGCCTTGATAGACGACGTTATGTAATCAACATCAGGTCATAGCGAGCTACCTTCTATTCAGTGATGTATACCAGCTGTCTGAACTCAGACGCGCTACTTCTACTTTCCAGCCGCCTCGCTTTCTATTCGTTCAGTCCAGATGGTGAATGTATGTATGTATCTCGATCAGTGCTTTAATCTGACGGTCTTGCTTAACAGGATGGGCTTTAAAAGATCATCGCAGGGACGCAAACACAACACACAATTTGCAGTCGCTTGGGCAAAACATTACGATGGCGCGGGTCCGATCAACTTACGTATTTACACAATTTGAGAAAATCGTGGTCGATGTCATTAATGGTTAGCTCCGATCCTCTAATTCTCTACTCTCCGTTCTGCACACCTCATCTCTTTGGCACGCTCATTTGCGATATAGGCATATAAGCAAACCACGAGTCCGCGCGATTCATTCCTATTCATTTACCGTGTCCTAGATGGACAAATGAGCCTCTGAGCACCAATGACTTACAGCCATCCGGGGTTCATCCTTCACGGTCACTTTTTCATCATCTGTGTGCTTATACAGCGTAACTCCGCAAACACGTAGAATCAGTTGTCTTAGCATCAAGGACTGGGTTGGTTTCTAGACGTTGCAGATAATTTCAGCTTGCCACTTGGTAAAAGTGTGGACGGGCGGTTCACTGACTTCCAGTAGTGATACAACAAGAAATGAGTTTGTCTACATAAGCCTCGTCTTAAATATTCTTTGAAACAGCATAACTTAAATAAATAGCACGACAGATCCTTGACCACATTTCTCCTCCCTGCAGAACACTCGGCAAGCATTTCCCTACACAGTACTGCTAGTTGATATTTGTACATGCTCCTGGAAGACAATCGAATTCATGCTAGTTTCTGCGTCGGAGTTGGCCACGATTTTTGCATGATATTCTCGAACACTAAGGATAAGGCGGGGTCCCAGCACAAACGACTGCACGCCCAATAAAATATCAATAGTGCCTTCGAGTATCTCGACTCCCACAGAATATGAATCCTACAGAAATGATGAGCAGTGGGTACAAGCAGATGCCAGCGATAGGTCGGCACACCTCAATCTCTGGAGAGAGATTACGAACTAACTGGAGGCAAGAGACGCAAAAAAAGCTAGCACATGTGGAACTTGAGCAGAAAAAGACGAACACATTTACATTACAGGCTCACCTTGCAAAATAAAGCACGTGAGATTTTATCAGCACTCTGAAACAGTCCCCTATGACCGATCCCGTCGATGGGCCGAGTCGTCGCAGGTCACGGAAATGTTTCATAGCAATCCAGACTGAAAGACACAGTGCAAGGACCTCCCAGACGGTGTTGAGCGTCCAAGCAATTGACATCAAAAGCAGGACATCCCCCTCATATCCAAAGCCGCATATATGCGTTCCAGAGAGTATCAGCTCCTCTGGTGGTTGTCCAATGAGCGGTGTTTTTCAAGTCAACAAGTAAAGCTTACCCCCTACAATATCCTTGAGTCCTATTGCCGCCATTACTCCGCAGGCGATGTTAACAGCCAGAAAGATGACAACAAGGAAGATAAGCATCCTCCTAGATCTCTGATACATGGCATGCAGGCGAGCAATCATGATGACTTGCATCGTGTTTCAGTCGAGTCAATATCACTGAGGTATTGCTACTCACCACCCAGCATGGAAATTACGACCACATTTATCCCATTTATTGTGTAGTTTATAATATTACCTGAAACACGCAGTCAGTGACCACCTCGTACTAGTATCAAACGCTCCAACTTACACCTGTCGAGTCTTTATGTTGAGCCTAGTTCAATTGAATCTCACTCACCCCTGAGTATGAGTGTATTCATTGGATAGGAATAAGATGATTGCGGAATACTCACTGCATCTGTCAGGGAGACCGATGGCATAATTGCTGTGTGCCGCAGGTCAGAATAATCGAACACAGTGCATAGTATGAGACATACCCAGAGCGTGGATACTGATAACGAGAGATGGGCTATTAGTACAGTGCCAACTTGTTGGCCTCAAACACATACACAGAATATAGTATTCCAATATAGCGTATCTAGAGCATTTTGAGGTCAGCACAACTTGCCAACCACGCTATAGCATAATATGAGGTACGAACAAGCAAATACATGACAGTCATGAGAGACCAGCGTTGCCTCTGTGGCGAATTTATTGTATTCACCTGTTTTTATTTTAACTCGGATATTGGACTCACCCAGATCAGTTCAATCTATGACACCATTGTTAACAAGTTGGCTACTCCGGCAATAGCACCGACATACCTCTTGTCCGAGTGTTAGGACTGGAAATATTATGAGAATATGAGCGGGTTTCGAACACTGTCCTGCTCACCCCAATCGTATACCACCATGACGCCGACAGCAACTGCAAAACCACAAGTCAATGTTAGACATCCGACCAACTGATACGACAAACCTATCCAATAGGAGAGAAAAATACTCGAATTGATGAACGGCCACCAACTGGGATCAGTGGAGACATAGGTCATATTTGAGAGATGGGTGTGAGCGAGCGGGGATGTTGGGTATTCAAGTTATAACAACATAGTGTTCGTATTAATAGTAGTAGATGTACCAAGCGCTGTCCGAGATCGGCATAATGGTGATGAAGATATAGATCCTTGATTGGTCGAAGTAAGTATTGCAATTTTGATTTGCAAACCAGTTCCACTCGTTGCGAGTGAGTAACATGTCTTCGGGTTATTCTTGTTGTACTTTGGGGGTTTGAAATTACTCATCTCCGTGAAGTGATCGCAACTTGAACAAGCTGTAAATTCTCTCAGGGCGTAACAGCTCCCCTTACCGCTCTTATATCCGATTCATGCCTCAATATAATCAATTGTCCTGTTCTACTACTTGTTTAGTTCAAGTACTCAAATACTCCGAAATCGAACAAGGCTTGCCTCTTGATCTTAGTATTCAACCCATTCCTCCAACATTAAAAGATTTCACGCCATAGATACAATCACTCCCCGTTCCACAAGCTATTGTCCAGAACGTTAGCTATAACAGGTACCCGGTCTTAGTATCAAAGTCACGATGCCACTCATCCAAATTAGGCTAATAATCCTCTGCATCGGATTCAAATCCACATGCAAGTATCCCACATATACCTTCCGTTAGGACATAGCTCTATCCCACAACTCAATTTCCGATCTGATAGTGATCTGCACCTTCCATCATGGTTCCCTATTAAGAATCTCTTTTGCAACGTCAACAGCAACGCCGCCCGCGCCCTCATGATGTCCTGAATATTAACTCACTACCGTCGCCATCGCCATCGGACTCGGACCCACTCTCTTCAATTTTGCACACAATTACTCCCTTTTCAAAACGAGCTTACTTGGGACAATGCTTCTATAGTGTCGTCTTCACTGCTACACTTTTCGTTCATCGTTCACACGTGCCTTTTCTTGTAGCGACAGTGTCCAGGCTTTACCTGATTAGCACAAGGTAAATATCTTCTATGAACGTTCCTCTCGGATATGTTCTGACTCCCCGTGAACCAGTGCTTCACACTCCATTCATACGGACAGCCAAGATGGGTATCACCAGGAAGCAGATTCGTTGCCTTATCAGCCATCTCGCCTTCCACTCACTGGCGTCACAAATTATAGCCATTAATCCAATGCTATTCCTCTCTACTGGTTCCTTGTACCCCATCCGTTAATCCCCCTCACTTCATTCGTTTTCACAAACATAATTTCCCCATTGCCCGAGTCAAGTCTGGATGGCAGGTGTCACGGTAGTTGTGTCCTGCGAACCAGAGCCGCTGTATTATCAGAAATATGGAATTCTACTGATTACCGTTACTTCCGCTCCTTCCTTCGTTATCCTCAGATAGATGACAGATCTCGAATGGATTTGATGGTTGTGAAATCCTTGGGGCTATCAGCCGTCTGAACTCCCTGAGACACACTGGTTTTACTTTCCTGGTTCACCGAACTTTCGTATCGTGTTCCACATGTCTGGACATCCTTTTTTTGTGCTCAGACAACTGGCCCATTGATCATATTTTGGCAGCCACGCTTTACTCCTCGCTCAGCACCTCATATCTCCTTACCATCTGTGATAGAAGTAAATACTCGAGCCATAAGTTTTTTTGAATCCATCATACTCCATACCGTCGAATCATGCTTGAGTACAGACGATTGACTGCACGACTATCTGGCAGTATTCAGCGATCGCTTCACCTGAGCTTCTAGTACTTATTGCATATACAAACGATGGACGAGATAACATCATGGGACGCGAGAGATCGTCGTAAAGATCAATGATGACCGTCAGTATACTCAGGAGAGGCACAACAGACAAAAAGCCAGAAGCGAGTCCAGCGACCAGCGTGTTTTATCGTTGCATGAGGATTGGTACTCAAAGATGTAGTAGCTTCGGGGGTGGCAGATGACGTGGGGTTAGCAGCCTGCGATTGTGTTTGCGAAGATGGCTGGGCCTGAGCCGTGCCGTTGGATTGCTGTGTGGGATTGCTATTGGGAGGGCGTGAGGTACTTGCAGAAGGGTTTTTCGGAACTGGCCTCCGTTTTTCTCTTGCACAAGCGTTTCTCTACGTGAGATGAGGTGGGGTTGGAACAGAAAATAAAGTCAGGCGGAATTGAACATTTGAGAAGGAAGAGAGGAACGTACGCGTTTGCCCTTGGCATAAGGGACATCAATTACTGCCGAGGGATGCTTATGCAGCTCGATATCTACAGGTCCGCTTGATCTGCCAGAAAGACGGTTTCGAACCCAGTGAAAAGGGCGGGGTCGGGATGGCGTATCGTGGGCATCGGAGTGTATGGGGCGAAACAAAGATAAAAAGTGGTTACGAAGGGTGGTTCCATGCGATGGTGATAGAGGTTGGAGGCAGTGTCGTTCAGACAACTGAGAACATCAAGGTGAGGAAAGTACTGAATGAGATGTTAACCACATACACGAGCATGATCAAGTGTATCGTCAAAGAAACCTCGGGGTACCCTATTTGGATCTTGATTGGCTGACGGACACGACGTCGTGTAGCATCGGCCTAGAATGCATAAGCTTACATGCAATGAGAATTTATGAAAGTGTCACGTACAGTGAGTAGTGATTTATCGGGCTGGTCCAAAAGAAGGTCGTCGAGGCCAGCTTCTTTTAATATCACAGTAACATCCCACGTGTATGCATTGTGGCCACCGCTAGTGGCTAGTAATTTTCCATCTGGCGAAAAGGACAAGCAGGCCACCACGGGTGCATATTGGAGGGGCGGACCAATGGGCTGATTGTTGTCGAGGTTCCATAATTGTGATGTCATGTAAAAGGATGCGCTTGCGAGAATACGGCCATTCGGAGATATCGCAATGGCATAGACAATGTCGGTGTTCTTTAACAGTGCTATCTGCTTCCAGGTTGTTGTATCCCATGTCCTAATCGAGCAATCGTTTGACCCGGAGATGAGTGTTTTTTCCATCTGGGGTCCAAGCCAGGCAATTCACCATTTGTGTGTGTCCATTAAGAGTGGCGACAAGCTCGCCTGTCTTCGCTTGCCAAATTTTGATTGAGTCTTCATATTCATCATCCAGGTCCCACTGGTAGTAGCATCCAGCAGTCGCGAACATGGTCATGTCTGGCGAGTAGACAACTGCGTACACGTTTGTGTGCCCTGTCTTGATTGGACCTAGAATTGTCTCTCCGTTCTCCACATCCCACTGCCTTGCAGTCCCATCATCAGATCCACTCACCACTCGCCGACCATCTCGACTCCAGCACACAGACCGCACTGTTGCTGTGTGTCCCGTCCATTTCCCGATGACTTTGCCTGTGTCGATGTCCCATAACCTCATTCCACCATTCAAACTTCCGCTAACCACTTTCTTCCCGTCCGGGGACAACGCTATGGTTCTCAATTCAATATTATCATCTCCGTCTGGGTCCCGATAGTCTTCTCCTATCTGTTTCCCACTCTTCACGTTCCATACCCGCAGCGAGCCGTCCCTTGAACAAGTCATCATCCTCTGTCCGTCTGGCAGTTGTATGATGGTATCGACAGAATCGGTGTCACGGTGTCCTTCAAATTTCTGGGAGGGTTTTATTGCTGATATCTCTTTCCTCCCTACGATGGATGAAGGTGAAGACATGATCAACTACTGGGCTCAGCGCCGTCTCAGCATTCATCTAACAAAGTCCAAAATCATCACTTACGACGATATCTTTCTTAGCAGGTCTCGACGCCTCGACACCAAGATTTAGGTCAATTCGGAGTACACTGGAAGTTTGAACTGGTACGACATCTTCGTGATTACTTCACAGCTTGTATTATAGGCTGTGCAGCTGAAGCGCCCAAGCCTAGGCCTCATTTGGGACCCTGACTTGTATTCCATCAGTCACGATCTTGATTCCCGTTTCGACTTGCCTGACCAACATATGATATATCATATCATATCCTTAGTTGCGCGTCTTCTCTCGGGAAGCATCAGGGTGGCCGAAGTGGTTATCACAACAGAATCGAAATCTGTTTCTCTTGGACTGTGTAGGTTCGAAACTTGCCGAAGATAGGGTTTTTTTCCTATTGTATAACACCTTGGCATTCACTCATAGATAGATTATTCGGAGGCACATCTTAACTCGTCTTAGCCAAGTGGTTGTACAACAGAGTCAAAATCTGTGTCTCTTGGAAGGTGCAAGTTTGAAACCTGCTGACCACTGTTTTTTTTTCCAACAGAACACGCCTTAAAGATTCACTCATGGACAGTTCCGCGGAGGACTGTGTCACCTTCATCTTGGCCACAATGGTTACCGCAACAGAATCAAAATCTGTTTCTCTCGCATGGTGCATGTTCGAAACCTGCTGATGACAGGTTCTTTTTTCTGTCGGAAGCATGCTTTGAAGATTCATTTACGGACATTTCCTTGGGGTTCATGTCGTATCCATCCTGGCCACATTGGTTGCCCCAACAGAATCAAAATCTGTGTCTCTTGCACTGTGCAGGTTCAAAACCCGCCGACAACAAGGTTTTTTTCTATCCGAACACACCTCGACATTCACTCGTGGGTGGCTTCTTCAAACGCTTATGTTGACTAGTCTTAGCGAAGCGGTTACCACAATTGACTCAAGATCTGTTTCCCCTGCACTGTGCAAGTTTGAAACCTGCCCACGACAATGTTTTCTCTATCTTAACACGCCTTGATATTCACTCATAGATAATTTCGTCGCTACCGCATCTTAACTCGTCTCATCAAAGTTGTTACCACAACAGAATCAAAATCTTTGTCTCTTGGATAGTGCAGGTTCGAAACCTGCCGACGACAGGTTCCTTTTTCTGTCGGAAGCACGCCTTGAAGATTCACTCGTGGACAGTTCCTTGGAGGTTCATCTCAACTTCATCCTGGCCAAAGTGGTTATCAGGCAGAGTCGAAATCTGTTTCTCTTGGGCTGCGCAGGTTTGAAACCTGCTGACGACAAGGTTTTTTGTTTCTATTGGAACACGCCTTGAAGATTCACTCATGGATGGTTTCCTCAGAGGTCCCTCTCAACTGGTCTAAGTCGAGTGGTTGCCACAACAGAATCAAAATCTGTTTCTCTTGGACTGCGCAGGTTCGAAACCTGCCGATCATGTCAAGGTTTTTTTCTATCGCAACACGCCTTGACATTCACTCGTGGATGGATTATTCGGAGCCTCATCTTAATTCGTCTTAGCCAAGTGGTTACACAACAGAATCTAAATCTGTATCTCTTGGACTCTGCAAGTTTGAAACCTGCTGACTACAGTTTTTTTCTATCAAAACACGCCTCAAAGATTCGCTCACGAATGGTTCCGTCAGAGGCTCACCTTAACTGGTCTTAGCTAAGTGGTTACTGTAACAGAATCAAAATCTGTATCTCTTGAACTGCACAGGTTTGAAACCTGCCCTCAACAAGTTTTTTTCTTGTTGGAAACATCCCTTGAAGATTCACTCATGGACAGTTCCTCGGAGGGTAGCCAGGTAGTTATCATAACACAGTCCATATCTGTCGAACTTGGTTTTTTCACCTATTGGAACTGAACCTCCGGTCCTCGGAGGTCCAGTCTTAACTGGTCTTAGCCAAGTGATGACCACAAGAGAATCGAAATCTGTTTCTCTTGGACTGCGCAGGTTCGAAACATGCCGACAAGGTATTTTTCTATTGCAACACGCCTCGGAGGCTCATCTCAACTGGTCTTAGCCTACATGTGGCTCATCTTAGTCCAGTGATAACCACAACAGAATCGAAATCTATTTCTCTTTGGACTACGCAGGTTCGAAACCTGTCGATGTTAACGGTTTTTTTTCTATCAGAAACACGCTTTGAAAATTCACTCGTGGGTAGTTCCTCAGAGACTCGTCTTAACTGGTCTTGGTCAAGTGATCACTACAACAGAACCGAAATTTGTTTCTCTTGGACTGCGCAGGTCCCAAACCTGCCGATGTCAATTTTTTTTCTATTGGAACACGTCTTGACATTAACACTCCATGATGGATGGTTTCGAGGCTCATCTTAGCTGGTCTTAGCCATGTGGTTACCACAACAGTGGCATGTGCAGGTCCGAATCCTGTTGATGACGAGGTTTTTTCTATCGGAACACACCCTTTACATTGAGTCATGGATGGTTTCCTTGGAGGTCCATCTAACCGGTCTTAGCCAAGTGGTTACCCCAACAGAGTCAAAATCTGTTTCTCTTGGAGTTGGTTCGAAACCTGCTGACAATATTTTTGCGGTGTAAAGATCCTCGGAGTTCACTTAAGGGGCCTAACCATTGCGCCGAAGCTCATTTTTATATGTGATAGTCTGTCCATGAAAAGGAATTCACCTTCACCGTCACGCCTCGCCAGGGTTGTCCCAATACTTACATCCCCGAGGTGCTTACGTGTCAACCTAGATCTAGAGTGTCGGAGATCGGTGCTAAACACCACTGCGATATCTGCATAGTCAGACGAGTTTGCAAGTGTGAATCGTCGAAAGGTAGCAGTAATATCTGGCTACACGTGCGTAAATTGCCTAAATGCACCTTCAATGCGGCTTTAATGATGCTCACTTTGGTGAGAACGTCAAGTTGATCAATTGATGCATCCAATGCGTGATAAATTTGTTTCTGTTAGTCAAACCCTCGCTTGGATGGTCTGTAAACTCATGTAGGACGACTACTGGCATTCAACGAGCTCCAAAGCGAACTAGTACAGGACTCCCCTCTCCTTATCGCTCTCGCTTTCCTCCACGAACATCGCAAGATGCATTAGTGACTGCTGAGGACAGTAGTCGCCAATGATGGGAAGCTGAATATATGCGACCCTCGGTGTCGGAGAAAAAGGCCCCCTCTAGTGGGTCGGAGCATGGCACCTAGTCAGAACTTGATTTTGGATGCGACATTCGATGGAGAAGCAGACAAGAATTAAGCAGCGAGGACAAATCATATGCTGGCCGAGTGAGGACCCTGTGAAAGCTGCGTTGACTTTTAGCGACATGAATCATTTAACAAACCTCGAACCATCGTGGAGCTTCTGTTCATCAACACGTGTGCGAAGAGCTCCGCAATTTTGCTAAGGGCATCAAGATTACCAACAAGGCGCTTTAGGAACCACACCATTGAATTCAGCGGACCATTACAGGAAGTGGGGAAGCACAGTAGACATACGAGATCCTCACTTCACGAGCGCGTTGCCCCTGCGCAATGTGTCAATGAGAGTTACCCGATGTCAATGCTGCACATACCTATTAACGATAGCTTGTGTGTGCCAGCTCTTTGTTGGTAATGGCTTTGCTGTCTCCATTAACAACAGTAATAATCTCTCGTGCTAAACGCTCCTCTACCGTCTTCCCACTCTTGTTTTTTCTGACGGCTAATACAGCATGAACACCCGCCCTTATGCGCTGTTTGTCTGTAAGCGCGGCAGATCTCACGACATTCTTTCCCGAGCGCTTCTGTGATATGCACTTGACACCGGGGGAAGCAATGATGAAAGCATGGCAGATAGCGGGGGCGCGTAGGTAAGAACGTGAATATAAAGGAGGGTAAAGGAGACGATGCGCTCTGCACTTGCAAGCTTTCCATGATTAAGCAGGGAAGATGGGAGGAAATGAAGGAGGTCGAATGCTGGCGGAATGAGCATTTGTGAAGCGTCTGGAGTTGAAGGGGGAGATAATATATTTGATAGCAATGAAGTATTCAAGTCGAGGCTTGATGAAGACCCCATTAGAGTGTCAAATAACACTATATGCACTTTGGTTGACTGTTCGTTCAGCGGCAGTAGAAGAGCGACAGGCAACAAAGTGCCGTGGAGGACAGAAAAAGCGAAGAAAGGTGGTCACGACTAGACATGCTCGCTGTGGCTCGAACCATCTGCCAGCAAGGAAGTAATATTTCGTCCATCCCGATTGAATGTCCTAATGACCGGGTTTTGGAGGAAGTTCGTTGAATACAAAATATTTCGCAATGTTTAGTCGTGGTTGAGCGGACTGCAGGGCTGCTGATTCTGTGGAAATGCTCATCGATGTTTGAATCTAGGAGGGGTGGGAGGGTGAAGCCGATAACAGAAAGAACAGAGCCTTGTTTGGAGTCCAGTGACAGTCCATTCCAGATGCTCCTGTGCAATAGAAACGAATGATTTCGATGGTGCTGGAAAAGAGAGGTCGCGAAATATTTGCGAATGCAATTCCCGAGAAATGGAAATATTAGATTTACTGGAAAGTCGAAAACAGAAGACGACGAAAACGGCTCGAAAACGCTATGTAGTGTGAATGTACCTAGTAACTAGATTAGTACATATTAACTAGTGCACCTCTACAGCATATCATTCAGTCGGACAACCATAAAATTCAGCTAGGTATGGAAATTGACGAGGAATCAAAGAATCAGACGATACACTGAATGTTGCGGCAATAAAATCATCGTTATATGGAGCTAGAACTCCTGACGTTAGCAACTGCGAGGAGGGATGGTAAAGACTGAGAACTCACGCATCTCGGCAACTCGACCAGTGTGTTCCATGTACCATGCGGCTCAAATCAAGCTCGGGATATCCTCTGGGTATCACCAATGAAGTCCAAGGAGTATAAAATGGAAGTCGGGAAGCAGGAGGTACCCAGAAAAGGAGCTGATGATTGGGTCCCATGATCCATCCATCAGACTGCAGCAAGAAAGGGGTGGAATTAGAATCATGATGAGAGGTGAGTTCGAGCAAGTCAGCAGAATTGGGCAGGGCGTGTTCCAGGCTGGACGAGAAGGAAATGAAGTGATCGTTACAAGTGTTGGTTGGCATGATACAGCGTTCTTGAGTGGGAGGTGCGGAGCTTTGACGTAGCGAAAATGGGGAGGAATCTGGTTGTCTGGGTATGGGGGATGGCTGCACTTTCCCTGCATCCCACAGCCGCACAGTGTTATCTCTCGAACCAGACGCGAGTACCATCCGGTGAGAACGAGACTGACGAAACCGAGCTAGTGTGCCCCTTCAAGGGCCCACCCAATGGCTGTCCCGTCCTTACATCCCACAGCCGCACAGTGTCATCCGCCGAACTAGATGCGATGCGAGTACCATCCGGTGAGAACGGGGCTGACAAAACCGAACTAGTGTGCCCCTTCAAGGGCCCACCCAATGGCTGTCCCGTCCTTACATCTCACAGCCGCACAGTGTCATCCTCCGAACCAGACGCGATGCGAGTGCCATCCGGTGAGAACGAGACTGACGAAACCGAGCTAGTGTGCTCCTTCAAGGGCCCACCCAATGGCTGTCCCGTCCTTACATCCCACAGCCGCACAGTGTCATCCTCCGAACCAGACGCGATGCGAGTACCATCCGGTGAGAACGAGACTGACGAAACTGAACTAGCGTGCCCATTCAAGGGCTCACCCAATGGCTGTCCCGTCCTTGAATCCCACAGCCGCATAGTGTTATCCCTCGAACCAGACGCGATGCGAGTACCATCCGGTGAGAACGAGACTGACCAAACCGAACTAGTGTGCCCCTTCAAAGGCTCACCCAACGGCTGTCCCGTCCCTGCATCCCACAGCCGCACAGTGTTATCCCAAGAACCAGACGCGATGCGAGTACCATCCGGTGAGAACGAGACTGACCAAACCGAACCAGTGTGCCCCTTCAAGGGCTCACCCAATGGCTGTCCCGTCCCTGCATCCCACAGCCGCACAGTGTTATCTACCGAACCAGACGCGATGCGAGTACCATCCGGTGAGAACGAGACTGACGAAACCGAACTAGCGTGCCCCTTCAAGGGCTCACCCAATGGCTGTCCCGTCACTACATCCCACAGCCGTACAGTGTTATCCCTCGAACCAGACGCGATGCGAGTACCATCCGGTGAGAACGAGACTGACAAAACCGAATTGATGTGCCCACTGATTATGGTCTGAACAACCGCCCAGTTCAAATCACGGCCTAATGCTAGACGAAGATTATTCGGAAACCTTGCCGTGAATTTGGTAGCCATGGCGGAGTTGACAGGCGAGAATGGGAGCGCTGATAAATACAGATGCGGTGTGCTGTGCAAGATCATGCCACCAAAGACTTGGATGAATCTTTGTACATCCATCGTGGTGGTCCACAAATCTTCGTATCCAGAATGGCCCTGTATTTATTTATCAGCTGTCAATCTGACACTGCCTCGTAGGCATGTACCCACCTTCAGCCACTTGGCAACGAGTGGAAGCACAATAATTGCACCCCTGATTGCATTGAGAAGTCCGAGTGATTCAATCCAGAAGAGCAGTCGCTCGTCGTCGTCGAATGATCTGATCGCCTTGGCGAGCTCATCGTCGAAGTCCGTTGTTTCAGCATGCGTAGCCCAGAATCGACAGGAATAGGAAAGATGTGGGGGGATGGATGTTTTGACTCGTTCTGGCAGTCCGGTATCTTCGCGATTAGGGAGGTATGATGACTTTAAATCGCATATATTGAAGCGAAGGCCATGTTCCATCACTCGAAGTGATGCCAACGCTAAATCGTGGTGTTGTCCCTTCGTCACCTCGACGAAGAAGTCTCCGCTGGATGATTTGTCTGTGAGGAACTCTTGGAAGGATGCGTGAAGGGGTTTGACGGGGATATGCGGGTCCGTTGTGCCGCTAAGGAGGGATCCCATATGTTGTATGATGTTCATTTTGTAATGCTTGTGATTTGGAAAACAGTCCCGCATGGCATTGAGGGAATCGAATGGGAGGGGTTCAGCCGTGCCGAGTATTTGTCCTATAACGGAACGAAACCCCGCTAGTGCTTCCTTGTACTCGACATCGCTATACCGACCTCGTGGCAATATATCTGCCAAAATAAGCCGATACATCTCATACAACTGGTTCGTCCATTTCCCAGGATCGCGGTTCACGACAGTTTCAAAGCGAGACCTTGGGTCTACGCCGAGAAGGTCTTCCTTAATGTATTCGCATGCAAGACGTGCCCACTCGAAAAGTCCATCGGCTTTCGTAGCGAGGTTTACAAACTCTTTGTCTCCAAAATGCGACAGACCTTCTAACTTGTCAGATACAAAATTGCAGATGTCGCGCTCCGCCACTGCTGCTGGAATCATGTCCATGGATGACTGTAGAATATGCTGAGCGCCGTTAAATGCATCTTCGATATCATGAAGCGGGCGAGAGGTAACGAGAATCCGAAAGTTGGATGGGAGTTCTGTGATTTGGGGAAGACCTTTGTTCCGAAGTTTGCCGGCAAGTATGCGGAGAAGGTCACGTCGGGTCTCTACTCCGCCGCTCTCGTCCAACGCTTCAATCATGATCAAGACAGGTCCCATACTTGACCTAGAGGATTTCTTCAGCGGTTCCATGAGAAGCTTCTCCCACTGCTGATAGATATCCTTCGAGTTCTTGAGTGAAGTGGAATCTTTGACCGCATTCGCCAATGCTCGTCTCATCTCCGGATCACGATCAGCTAGGTCATGAGCGATGGTGGAGAAAACCGTTTCATGGCGTTTCTCGGTCTTGTCGAAGCAGAAACATGAACCGAGCACCCCCATGTCGCTGAACCACTTGGCAATCGTGTGAGCGATGGCTGATTTGCCCGTGCCTGCAGGGCCAGATAGCCACAGCACACGTCCAGCAGCATCTCCACTGCCGTTGATCCAATCCGTAATCTGGGAGAGAATCCCCGTGCGCGTCCCTGGTAGGCACTGTTTCATGGTATTTAGTCCCGCGCCTTTTGCATAAGCGATATCACCGAGATCCAGGGTATCGCCTGAAACGGTGTGAATGAATGTAAAGACAGAAGCGCGTTAGAATCCTTACTCGTTCGTTGGACGAAGACGACCACGTCCCGATCAGTTTGGTCCCGGAATTGTTGCATAAGGTCGTCCAAAGTGTCGCTGTACTGTTTGATGATGTTGTCGGTTTCTGAGAGAACGTTTTTGCCAAGTCTCTTCCCTGCGATAATAGTGTAAGATTCATGTACGAAGTTCGATAGCTTGGTGACTCACAAAAGCTCTTTGTCTCCGAGCAGTCCCTGATGAAACGGGCACACTCAAGGGTCTGCTGAATAATCTTTCCAACGATCCCGCGCATGGATTCAATTTTGACAAGGCTGTCATCTTGAATCATAAAGTGGTAAACTTCAGCTAATTCTTGAGAAGAGTACAGATCGATTTGTCGCGCTCTGCTTGAGCGATTATAACCTACGTGGAATTATGACTTCTGAGTGACACTGGACTCCGGGAGAAACCGGACGTACTTTAGATGCAGCAGACAGTATACCCAGCGCCATCTTTGCGTATGGGTGTACCTATGCAACTCGATTAGCTCCCTCCAATTCAATAAGAATATCTCGTACATCCGTGATCTTCTCAAGGACAGCATCAACAATCTTTAGGGGTTGAATATACGTTGTCTCAAAATCATCCACAGCAGCGAGACCCGCTGAGGCCTTATTGGCGGCGGATGCCATAGAATTCACATGTCCTCCGAGTAGTCTCATGCTTTCCGTACCACGAGAGGCACCCTGAAGTTCAGCATCAACTAATTGGGGATTAGGTCTTTCCTCCTCGCCAGGAGGAGCAGGCTGAGCCTGTGGGACCGCCGAAATTAGAGAAGAAGTCAAAGTATTTGACGAAAATACCTGTAAAGCAGGCTCTTCGGACAGCCCTTGGTTCATAGAGTCGCTGGGAATCTCAGATGCGGTGGGATGCTTGTTGTCGTCGGAAAGATGAAGATGCAACGTGTCCTGGCCGCCTCTAAGAAAACCGAAGGACTGGGATAGCTAGTTGAAGCACTTACCTCGACTTTCTGACTCGATGAAGCCCCTTCGGTTTCAACGCTTTGGATCGCAGTGGTGCGATTGCTTGTTCGCTTGAAGCGTTTCTGCACGATCTTAGCCATATTCAGGACAGTCAGCATTCACGTCCACGCACAGGAAGTTTTTTGGTTAACGCATTCTTCAATTTCCGTAGGGACTGACGGATTCCTCCACGAGGATGGTTCTAGATGAAAAATGTATAAGGGCAGCGATGGATTTCAGAGACGACATACCGAGCTTTCAGCAACATTTGCCTGACTGGATCTGGAGGCTCCTGGAGGAGAATCTGGCCTATAGTCTTCACTCATCACGAGTAGTCAGTGTGAGCGAAACGGTGGGGAACAATGAGAAGAGTGTGAGAAGGGAATGGGTGTCTTATCCTTTGGCGCTACTAGAGCCACACAATTCCCGTCGGTTCATACATAGCGGCAGGTTATTGTGTGTGCATCACAGTGCAATGAAGAGGACAAGAGAGCTCCTTCATGTTGGGTCTGGCGTTGTCAAAGTTTAAGTTGGCATTGGGAAGCCTGCATGCTAATGTGGTGGAATTTAAGGTGTCGTTCCAACTGTTCGAACTTCAAGCACACGACGGGACCAGTGCATGGGATGGAATAATGGTGCTGATATTTATGAGGCGGTTCCGCTGCAAATAATGATATCATGAGCTCAGCATGATAGTTCTGTCGACCGAGTGATACATGACGCGTGGGAAGGAAGGTGGAAACAGTCTTGCTACAGCCCACAGCAACCGCGTGTGTTCGGCGGCGTGCACAGAGACTTGGCCAAGTCTCCACTTTAAGTTATGCACTCCGACACTGGGGGTATACGAGAATGACAGGGAAAAAACCGATCACCAAAACAAAGCTTTTCCTCCTCTGGCGCCAGGCGAGTCGGGGACTACTATAATGGTATCACATCTCGGAGACCTTCCACAGTCATTCTTGTAATGATGTTCACATAAAAAGGATTGTCCAGTCATCCACGGACGCGTCACGGTGATATCACTTACTCGCCAGTGTTGTTGCCTTCTGGATGACGCCGAGATGCAAGATCCTATTGGACACCAAATTGCAGGCTATCTATTCTCAGCGCTATCTTGACGCTAGTTTTACTACTTCTATTTGCTCATCCTGACTTTCTTCGCTTCCGTCAATAGGTCATTCGAAGATTAGAATCATTACCGGGAGCACAAACCCCCTGCGTACATGATGCACGGACAGGATGATTGCACCCCAATACAGCCATCATTTGCACTTATATACTCTGCTCCCGGACATCTCCTTCCCAAGGCCACTCCTCGGTCTCCTTGTAACGACAATCAACGAAGCGTGCTTGGACAATCTGCCTCGTGGTCTTATCGGTGGCCGCTACACTTGTTTTATCTTGTCCAAGCGCCTCTTATCTAACTGAGTCTTTTCGGGCGTTGTCGACTGCACAGTACAAAAGACAAAGCGGCGGATATGTTCCTTCGCAGTGTACTTCGATTCGCGATCCCGTTAACAATGAAGTGAACGCTGTGAGCTGCATCCCTCGCCTTGCCCGTGTTGATTAGTGCTAACTTTTGTCCAGGGATCTCCTCTAACTGTATGCTGCGCCCAGTCCTTTGAAACAAGCTACTATAATTGTCTCGTGTGTTAGCGCTGCGCTGAATGCTATAGTATACACAGGCACAAGTTGATCTAGACCGTAAGCTCAGCTTCGCATACAGCATATCAGAGTCGATCACCCGATCTGCATGCTAGGACCCTCTTACTAGGATTATTGATATATGCTCCAGGAACCTACTCTCCCCGGTCAAAACCCATCCCGCACCCTTTCAACTTCTTTACCTGTTGGTTCTGCATTCACAACTACTTCTGCGAGCACTATACTGCCTTCAAGCGATTCTCTTGCCTCCTCTGGTACAGCAACGCTACAGGCGCTACGGGGAGGCAGAGTCTGGACTTTGACTGCTGCCATTATAGGATTGGTCGCACTCTAGAGGAGCGGAACAATAATAGACTGGGGAACCCCCTGTATCAATATTCTTAGATCAGCGCTCAGCTCAAACGCCTTATTATCTAATTGATAATCGTGGATATCTCCAGGCGGCTATACAATGCATAAACTGTACGAGCTTTTCTTGTGCTCTCCATGAACTGCTAGTTCTCACCCGCGTACGCCTTGCTACGTAAGGAGGTAGAAAGCTCCTGTGGCACACACCCGAGGCTAATGGACAACTCAGGCAGCAACGATGGCGTCAAAAAAGCAAAGGCTATGCTGTCAAAATTGTGACCTTCTTCGCTTCTTTACTTCCATCGATAAGCCATCTGCCAGCAGATTAGAACGCCTGGAACGTGGGCCATAGACGCGCATAATGCATGGTGCATGCATGTTTACAGCCTGACGCCAGTATCCGAGTCTGCCGGCATCCTCGCATATATATTGTGCTCCAGGATCCATCATGATGGTATTCCCTCTTCTAAGGAGCCCTTCTCGATCTTCGTGATACGACCTTGTAACGACAGTCAACGATGCGTGCCTCTGCAATTTGCCTCGTAGTCTTATCAATGGCTGCTAGCCATGTCTCATCTCATCCAAGCGCTTCTGATCTGACCCAGTCTTTCCGGGCGCTGTCGAGCCTGTCATACAAAAGACAAAGCAACTCCGTTCCTTCACAGTGCGCCTCAGCCTGCGATCCTGTCCAAAATGAAGAGAACGCTGTGAGCTGCATCCCTCGCCTTGACGGTGCTGATTAGTACTAACTTTCGTCCAGGGATACCCTAAGACCACATGTTGCACCCGGTCCTTTGAAAAAAGCTACTACGACTGCCTCTTATGCGTCGGCACTGCAGTGGATGTTACAGATTACACACAGGCACAAGCCGATCTAGACCGTAAGCACAGCTTCACATGAATAAAGCAAATAGTCTGAGTCAATCGCTTGATCAATATATCCTAGAACTCTACGTCTCTTGCTACGATCACGGCTATTCACTCGAAGGACGAACTCTCCCTGGTCAAGACTTATCCCTCGCTCGCACAACTTCTTCCCGTGCTACTACTAGTAAAACTGATACCGTTGCTGATACTTCAACTACGTCCGTATCGGTACTTACATCAGCGTCGGCAACTACGTCCACTTCAGAGACCACTACACTATCTTCAGGTGCTTCGTCCACTTCCTCTGAGACGTCGACCTCTGCCAACAGTACTGCGACTTCGTCCTCGTCCACGCCTGACACCGGGTCAAGTGCTGCGCTGGGGCTAAGCGTAGGAGGAAACGGAGTATGGGTTTTGGTTTCTGCTGCTATAGGATTAATCGTGTTGTGGAATAACTGATTGGGAAAATTACTGGATAATTTTTTGGTGATTCATATATTGTTGGTACTCGCCAACATATAGGACTGGCGCGGCTCAGCGCTTAGTAGGTAGTTATGATCACACGCAGCATTAGCATTACATATAATGTGTAAAACAGCACAGATCTAGACACTATGGTACGTTGTCTCGCCTTGTTGTACAGTATCGTAAGCCAGTCCCTGACTTCAACGTCAAGAAACGACGATGGATTGGTAGCAAACAGTCTATCGTTATACCGCAGATCAGATGCAGCACTGCTTGAAATTTGACATCGAGTTATTAGCAGGTGACTGACCTCCGAACTCGTCAGTAGCCTTCCTTTTGCCTTTGGGATCATGGAGAGCTTTCTTCGTGTATGCTGCAACTGCATACGCCGAAATGACTTCTTTTGAAACAAGCGCGGCATTGATCATTCCCGCTGTCGATCTGTACGAATATCTCTCACCTCTGCCGGCACATTCTGTTTGTGTTCTAGACGGGCTGACATGTCCTTGACAGAGCGCGAGACAATTTCCTGTGACAAATGTTCAGTAACCAGCACGCCAAACTCATGAGCAAGAAAACAGGCTTAGCCGAGAGTAAGTAACAGCTCAAGAACGGAATAAACATTAACCAAACTTTAAAACACTTGCTCCAGCGTGAAATAGGTGTTGTGCGCGTTTCAGGGCATGATTGGTGAGTGCATCACACGTTTTTCGATGAGAGCTTGTTGTCGAGCGTGCGATAGCGTGGCGCCAATCGAGGATACATGTTTGAATGTCAGCTTCGAGCAAGACGAGAGCATGAGATGCGCTGATGACAGGAGGAGTACGTGGAGAAGTTGCCACGTCGGAACCGTACAAGGTCTGAAACTCTGCAGCAAGTAAAGTGCCCCGTGATTTTGTGGGACTGATGCGGTCAAGAGACTCTCGAAGAGGATATGCATCTGACATGCTTGCGAGCTCTGTGCGTCGAGAAGCGAAATGAGATGCAATTTTCTTTATTTCGTGCATCGGATCTTCGCAGTACGACACCAGGTATGGACCAAGCAGACAATTTTTCTGGATAACAAGCATCGGTGTAGGAACGCCGAGGATCTCGATCATGGACATGAGGCAGCAGAGCAGCTTCTTGATCCGAATACGTAGCGAGAGAAATATGACATCATCGTCAATCAACTGTGAAAGTGTTCCGCATCGTGCCTGATCTTCTCCCACGGCGTCACTCAAGAAGATTTTGGACAGTTCTGCTGATGCGCACACCTCGGCGAGAAGTTCAAGGATATCCACGATTGTCTACTAGACCTGTGCCTAGCCCCAGTGCGGCGCTTGAAGACAGTGCTCGCAGAAGCACGACAGTGTAAGTACTGTCGTCCCTTATCGTTTACATAAACCGTTATTAATTAACCGTTAGGCAGTGATAATCAAAGCTCACGCGTGCACATTTATTTATGCTGATTACAGGAACTCAGGCCCAGGTCCAGGTCCAGGTAAGCCAACGGGCTTACACCTTCTTCGCTTCTATCAATAGGTCATCTGCCAACATGGTTGCAACCTGCCGGCAATTTGGCACTTATATACTCTCCCATCATGAGCTGCTTTTCCCTCTCCCCAAGAGCCTTCTCGATCTTCGTGATACGACCTTGTAACGACACTCAACGATGCGTGCTTCTGCAATCTGCCTCCTAGTCTTATCAATGCATGTCTCATCTCATCCAAGCGCTTCTGACCTGACCCAGTCTTTCCGGGCGCTATCGAGCCTGTCGTACAAAAGACAAACCAGCTCCGTTCCTTCACAGTGCGCCTCAGTCTGCGATCCTGTCCAAAATGAAGAGAACGCTGTGAGCCGCATCCCTCGTCTTGCCCGTGTCAATTAGTACTAACTTTCGTCCAGGGATACCCTAAGACCACATCTTGCACCCACTCCTTTGAAAAAAGCTACTACGACTGCCTCTTATGCGTCGGCACTGCAGTGGATGTTACAGATTACACACAGGCACAAGCCGGTCTAGATCGTAAGCACAGCTTCACATGAATAAAGCAGAGTCAATCACTTAATCGATATATATACTAGAACTCTACGTCTCTTGCTACGATCACGGCTATTCACTCGAACGACGAACTCTCCCTGGTCAAGACCTATCCCTCGTTCGCAGAACTTCTACCGTTGCTGATACTTCAACTACGTCCGTGTCGGCACTTACTAGTACATCAGTGTCGTCACCTACATCCCTGTCGTCATCTACATCCGTGTCGTCACCTACGTACTCGCCACCTACCTCCGCGTCGTCATCTACATCCGCATCGTCATCTACATCCGTGTCGTCATCTACGTACTCGTCACCTACCTCCGTGTTGTCATCTACGTCCCCGTCACCTACCTCCGTGTCGTCATCTACGTCCTCGTCACCTACATCCGTGTCGTCATCTACATCCTTGTCGTCATCTACGTCAGTGTCGGCACATACATCCGTGTCGGCACCTACATCCACGTCGGCACCTACATCCGTGTCGTCACCTACGTCCGTGTTAGCATCTACGTCCATCTCACAGACCTCTATACTACCAAGTGCTTCGCTCACCACCATTGGGACGTCGCTCGACGGCGTTGCGACTTCGGCTGCGTCCACGACCACGCCTGCAAGCTCAAATGCTGCGCTGGGGCTAAGCGTAGGAGGAAGCGGGGTCTGGGCTTTGGTTGCTGCTGCTATAGAATTGATCGTGCTGCGGAATAACTGATTGGGAGACTGCTGTATGTTTTTTTTGGGATTCATATATCGTTGGTGCTCGCCAACATAGGACTTGGACTGGTGCGTTCAGGGGGGCTCGGACAGCTATAATCACACATAAATAGCACTAGCCGCTACGTATACCCATGGCTTCGCCGTTTTGTCTGTGATTCATATATCGTTGGTGCTCGCCAACATAGGACTTGGACTCGTGCGTTTAGGAAGGCTCGGACAGCCATAATCACACATAAATAGCACTAGCCGGTACGTATACCCGTGGCTTCGCCACTCGATTGAATATTATATTAGGGGAACTCACACCTGGGAGCTTACGGTTTATGCTTATCCGTGCTTATGCTTACAACCCCCCAGTTTGCGCAGACGCAGATTATATAATACAAAGTACCAAGTTACTGCTTGTCATCAATTAACAACTTGCAAGCGAAGATGGCACAAATTTCTCTCCATGAGCACTGAGCAGTATCTACACGCATATATGTTGACAATGGTTCTCCGTAACCTGGCAAATCCAGAATTATCCCCCGAAGAGGCTGCGGTGCTCCTGGTCGAAGAACTACTAGCATTTCAACAGATGTAACTAATTAAACTAAATCTAAACATCTGTGAACTAGCATTAAAACTAATAATAAAAGCATAAAAGCAAGTGTAAAGTGAGTGATAAAAGCAAGTGGTAAAAGGAGTCACATGGTGAACGAGTGTATTGAAGAGAGTTGAAAAATTGGAAGGGTATACAGCCAGGGGACTTAGCAATCATCTTCGTCAAATTCATCCCAGTCAGGAGACGATGCGCTGCTTTACCTTGTCCAGAATATCCTGAGACAGCGCTGAGGAGATCCGAAAGTGAATATTCCTTACTTCCTTCTTGTCCTGCTTCCCCAGTAAAACAAGCCTGTTCTCGTCTTTCTTGACCTCTGACAGCAAGGTCCATGTCATATCCACGGACCAGTGGACATCGGGAATAGAAGGGGGTGTAGGGTCCTTCTTTCTCATGATGCTAATGAGACTCGGACGATCAATAATCCACTGGCAGAACGCTCGACATTGGCGGTCACAGCGCTCACTGACTATACTGGACGCGGCAGCACATGTAATGTATTTTAGTTTGTTTATACCCATATACAAATCAGATAGTATTGGGGGGTGTAAGCGTAAGCACGGATAAGCATAAACCGTAAGCTCCCAGGTGTGAGTTCCCCTATTACAACTCAAACAGTTTGAACTTCCATAAGCAAACAAGCATGTCATACAGAATTCAGGACAAACATAGGGCGCAGCTGGTGCTGCACCTTGTATTTGTCCCCCATATGCTGTGTGTCAGATTTGAATTAGTAGCAGCCAGTTGAAAGTGAGTACTATCGTTGGGCCAGAGTTGCAAAACGCCTCATACTAGTTCTTATCTCAAGTCCTCTATTTTTGGACCTTGGACCTTCCAATTTGGCCTATAAGAACGTACGGCGCTGTGCTAAATTTAGGGTTTTGCTGATGTGGTGAATGAAAGCCCAAACATCCGAGTCCAGTCTGTGATCGTCGGATAGTGTTCAATAACACTGATAAAAATACCAGACGCGAATGACTCACGCAAGAAAGGCTTCACGACGAGAAGTGCGAGACAAATCGAATCGAATGAGAAAAAACTTTAATTGTCTCCACCGGGTTCGTCGCCGTTCTAAGGGCGTAGCTATTTTGACTCGCGGTCCTGCCACAGTCAGTTCTCCGATGTCCATGAATCGACCTACAAGAGGTTTTCCCGAACACTTCAAGCAACCCATCGACAGGACGTGGACCATCAGGGTAAGCAGATTACTACCGGTACCCCAGTGCGATAAAATGGCTTTCAGTGAGTGATAATGATATTGACGTAGTGTAAGTCAACCACAAAGACTGTTGACCCACGTGACCACGATCCTGGGGACGTGGCTAGTGCAACTCATTCCTATGTTCTATATTCGACTCCCACATCAAGTTGTATGGGTTCATGATCATTTTGTTCACCATAGGCACATATACTGCTAACCAGTCACATCAGCTAATGACTATTTTCTTGGCGAGTACTGAGGTACTAGTGTTTGGCAGATGCGACTTGTTGTATTTCGAGGACAAATACTACTAGTCACATCAGCCAATGATATTTTCTTTTCCTCCCTCTCTGGACCCTCTTTGAAGCACGTCGACGCTTAACTGGTGCGCGTTCTGCAACTGACAGTGAAGGGCGACGTTTCACGGGCGCAATCTCTTCTTCAGCCGGCAGCGAAGGAGCTACAACGTCGGACAACTCATCTGCAGACGTGCATCAGTGAACCGACGACTCACTCACGCGAATCTCACGCCTCTTAGCTTGGCCCTGCCAGAGTTCGTCCACGAGATCTCCTTGCTCGACATCTTTAGGAGGTGATCCGAGACTGGATGGGAATTTGCAACCGCGCCACCAAACCACCTGCCAGCGTACTCGGTTACATGCAGTAGCAGGGAGACTAGCAGCGCCATAGGACTGAATCAGTCGCACGGGATACCAATACTTTCCAAGACGAGCAAGAGCCCCTTTGCCAGCACTACAAGTGAGTAGTTAGCCATATTCAGCCACACTCGCAGGTCAAAAGACAAACATCAGATGCGTGTGAAGCGGAGCCATTTTCTTCTTGCTTGTGGCTTTCCCGCTGCCCCTGAGCCACGGAAGTCAGTCTATGCAAGTGGTACAGCTGTATAAACTCACTTGCTAGTCGGCGGCACGGCTTTTGACTGCTGTGTTGAGCATCCATCGCAACAAAACGCTGCTTTCGGATGGAGATTGCTGGCTCGACCACCTCTCTGACAAGTGATGTGTGACCAATTTTTACACAGATTTCAACGCGCTCACAGGTAAGTTCGCCACAAGCAATGACACCCAGGCAAACACATCTCGTCTTTTTGCCTTATGACAATGTCAGTGCCGACTCTGACCCCCTCTTGTTTCCTGGCCGGCAAGCCCAATGTTCCCTGAGATCGTCAGTTTTTGTTACCCTCCTCTTACGTGAATAACCTTCATCCGGCCATGGGTCCCACAGATCATCTGTCAGGATAGGCTGGTCACCAGCGGCAGATCTGGGACGTAGAGAGTCGGATGGTCGATCTGGACCACGGCGTTGATTTGCTCGGGCTGTGGAAGAACAAGCACTGGGCTGAACTTGAATTTCTGATTAACTGGCTACCACCTGCGACTACTATGACATTACTCTGCAGTTCATCTCGGAGACCTTCTGCAGTCATTCTTGTTACAAATGATGCTCACATAAAAGGTGTTGTCTAATCATCCATGGACGCGCGATATCGCTTATTCGCCGGTGTTGTTGCCTTCTAGATGACGCCGAGATGCAAGATTCTATTGGACACCAAATTGTAGGCTATCTATTCTCAGCGCCATCTTTTTTTTTTTGATTCCAACTGATGTCCTATTGAGAGTGTACTCTACGGAGGACAATACAATCTAGTCTAAGGGCCCCCAGTGCTCTGGCTGCGCCTCTGAATCCGCGAATGCCCTGATGTGGGATGTGCCGCCGTTCCCGCTGGCCGTTTTAGACGCACGATTCATCAGGGGTGAGACGACTTCAGACTTCTATACGAGAGATATGTGTCTGTCGGCTAGCACAGGAATCAAACTGAATGCAGAGAATTTAATAATGGAGGGATCCTATGATTGACGAGAAGATCCTTCAGGTTTGCTGACTGAGTCCAGTGGTAGTAACAGTGATTCTGTGTAGGCGAGTGAGTGGGGGACAGGAGAGGTGGAAGGAGACGAGAGGTAGATGGCGAAGGTGTGGGCGCGGTGTGGTGATGCTGGGTGTTCGGTATTGCGTTGCCCGGCGTAATGGTTGCTAACGGGAACAAGTGGACATCTTATCGTCTTTTAGCGGGTTTTATCCTAATAATACCTCTAATTACATAGAATTCTCTGAATTACATCGTTTTATGAAATTTATGTGATTTTTGCACCGGAAGGTTTTTCCTGATGTGCAATATAGAAGATGCATTAATGTTTATCTCTACCTTGATCCAACCTCTATTTGTTATGTCCAGTCTGAGTCAGACATGGTTTATCGTTGCTACTTCTACCCAACGTTCAACCCTTTCGGGTTAGTTTCTCGTTTCCGCAGTGAATATTGTACATTGTACTGCCTTGAGAAGACGCCTGCCAGTAAAATAAAAAGGCGAAACAGGATGCATACTGTGATGTACCCCACATCCAACAATGCGCTTATTACTCTGCGTCTTCCTTTACCTCGTTGGAGTGATTCAAGCCACGAACACAACAACTACTACTAGCGACAGTTTCAAAGTCCCATCTCCATCATTCACCACCAGAACCCTATGGACAATCGTCTCCAGCTCCGTTCTCACTCTGTTTGCGTGTGTATACAGCGCCATCCATCCTAATATTCCGAGTCCCAAGCACAGTCCTGGTGGTATCCTACTGCAGCGACTCGGGATCACGATAATGGCACTCATCGCTCCTGAACTCATCGCCACATGGGCTATGCGCCAGTGGCTCAGTGCTCGTCAAGTTACAAAACAGTTCGAGACATCGGGGTACTATGGTCCGGAGTCTGAAGGTGAGTTGTGCTTTTGGAAACTCTGCATCTCACAACTCGCTATACATGTCCTTAGAAAAGGAATTTGTTGAAGCACCTGAGCAACGTGAAAATCACTTCGTCCGTCTCCTCGTAGTGCTTGCTAAAGGTGTACCATCTGTGCTGCTGTTTCTATGGCGTTTTCCTGGTGCTCTTGGGAGGTGGGTCAAAAGGTCGATCAAGGCTTATTTCTCAGAGCAATCTGAATGTAAGCCCCATTCGTGATCACCTGAACGTTTGCTCATGTGCATCCTTAGATCATACATGGACTCAGACGCACAGCTTCTTTGTGCTCATGGGTGGTTTCATGCTTTATGTGGACGGGAGACCCTGCCATACACTACGTCCTGATTACATTCTCAAACTGATACGTGAAGGGTATATCGACGCCCCTACCCTAACAGCAGAGCAAATCCACGACAGGAGCAAAGGCGATGCGATATCAAAAGGATTAGTCGTGCTTCAAGTGGGCTGGTTTGTTATGCAGCTCATCACCCGCGTCATCTATAACCTCGAAATAACCCTGCTCGAAGTGGGGACATTCGCTTTTGCGGTTCTCAATTTCCTCACCTATGCTATGTGGTGGAACAAGCCTCTCAATGTGGAGTTTCCACATCCAGTGTACTGGAAGTCGACTGAGTCAAAGCCAGAGGATCACATTGAGTATGTATGCGCCTCAACAGATGTACCGCTGCTGATTATGTCTGCCTCAGTGTCAGTGACGAAGAAGAAAACCGCTGGATTGGGGATCATGCCTCTAATCTTCCGCCCAATTCTAGAACTGATAGGCATGCCTGGTATTCCTATATCTCGACGGCTCCAAGTTCCAACATTTGATGGTAGCATCAAACTCAAAGGATGGGCCAGGTTTGCTCTGGCGCAGTCTGCATTTGTTATGGCAGCTGTATTTGGCGCCATCCATGTATTGGCTTGGAATGTTGCCTTCCCCATATACCAGGAACAGGTGCTATGGAACCTGAGTGGCATCGCTATAGTTTGCGCGCCCTCGCTTGGTATGTATATATATATATGGCTGTTCTTATGTCGACCTGCGTTGAGATGGTTGAGCTTCCCGATCTGTATATTATATGTCATGTTGTACGTCACAGCACGTGCCATCCTCTTGGTACTCATGTTTGCCACTTTAGACAATCTTCCTCCTGACGCATACAAGGCGGTATCCTGGACCAGTTTCGTGCCGCACTTATAATTCTTGTGTTGGAATTCGAAGGTCGAGCAAGCACGCACCGAGTCCGCTTAACGGAACAATGTGCACATTTTTCGCTCTATCATATTTCACTTAGTATACCTTTTCCTTTTATGCGCTCTTATGATATTGACCATCATTGTACTACAGAACCTTTCGTCTGCTTCGACCCACTACACCACTCGAGTATCCGTGGTAGTATACGCCAGGCTGGTCACGAGCCTAACTTGTGAGCGATTAAGCTATCGAAACGGCGAATATATTCTATTTTACCGAAGGGCGTCAGTACAATGAGGCTGGTCTGAGAATAGGCTGGTCGTGAGGCCCTCGAAATTGAAAACCTCGTTGGCTACAATTAAGAGAATCAAGTTTGCAATGTGGCGTTCCGTCACCTCTGCGTCACCTCCATCCTTCTCCAAGTCATCGTCTCTTCTATCCTCATTCCTGTCCATCCTATAGGCCATCCAAGAGCAAGCACCGCAAATCAACACTCGCTACACCCCCGCCGACCCATCTTTGCACACTGCACAGGTGCCAGGGCTCAGGCGGTTATCCGTCGCACCCTCTCCACCTCTGCCCCGAGTGAGGGAAACACGCCACGGAAACTGCCCTCTTTGCTAGACTCTGCTGTCCGCACTTTTGGCGAGAGAGGTATATTTCCAACCAAATTCTGGGAAAGAAATCCATCATCCACCAAGTTCGGGGAAAGAAGTATATCCCCTACGGAAGCCCCCACCCACTCATGTACCTCATCTCTTATGAAGTTTTTTACTTCCCCTGCGAAATCGTCTGAAGCATCTGTAAGGGCATACACGCTTTCAATTCAAGTGCCGCGCTGGGGCTAAGCGCAGGAGGAATCGGAGCCTGGCCTTTGGTTGCTGGTGCCATAGGAATGATCATGCTTTAGAAGTAGAATAGAACGTTGATCAGCGTGCCAGAACTCTACGTTTCTTACTACGATTATGGACATGCACTTCAAGCACTCAATCTCCCAACTCAAAACCTGTCTCGCATCCTCTCAACTTCTCTGCTACTTGTTGGTGAGTTTGCATTTACATTTCTGTGAGCACTGTACTGCCTTCAAGCGATTCTCTCGCCTCCTCTGTCACAGCAGGATGCAGAGTCTGAGTTTTGGCTGCTGCTACTATATGATTGGTCGTGTTCCAGATGAGCGGAACAACCGACCGGAAAAACCCCTGTATCGTTTTTCTTGGATCTTCTTAGATCAGCACTATAACTGATTGAGAAAACTGCTGTATGGTTTTTTCTGTGATTCATATGGTTGGTACTCGCCAACATATAGGATTGGTGCGTTTGGACAGGCTGGCAATGCAACTGGGTACCGGCGACTACGCGCCCCAAACCCTGACTCCTTTTGTGGGACAGCATCACGCATGAAATATTCGAGTCGAGGCCAAAATTATTGAGGTTCAAGCAATACGCCGGGTATAGTGTCGTACAAACAATCGACTCGCCAAGTACGTAGGTTATTGTAGTACAACTGCTGAACACCCGCGCAAGAACTGAGACAATGGGGAAAAATTGACTTCAAACCAAAGGCCAACACCAGAACTCACCCTGACAGACGCAACGAACGGAGATGAAGTGTCCCACCAGATAAACAACACACGCAAATTCAAACAGATGGAAAGGTCACGCATGAAAATTCCAAGCAAGGGATCAAAACCTGCTGTCTTAGGCAGCCTTACTCTGGCCAGCACCTCTCTTCGCAGGCAAAGCCTGTCCTGCCGGTCTATCGGCCTTGCGCTTCCCTCTGACATCAGTTGCCTTGGTCGCGGGTTTGTTGAAGAGGCCCCAGGCAACCCCGGCTGTCGGCAGTAGCCTCATGAACCTGAATGCTGTCTGGTAAACTCGAGCTGTTCGGATGCTTCTCGTCAGGACCAAAAGTCCAGCTGTATTCAGGCAGGCGAGACCTCGGACCTTTGCACTAGCACACACTCACGGCCACAAGTTAACATCGGGCCTCCACCACGACAGTCACAGACGCAGTGATCTTCTGGCTGTATTCGGATGGATGGATGAGCATCCCCGCAGCGTCGCGAACATTGGGAACAATGACTGGTAGGTCTTCAATTCCATAGAGCTGAATGGCAGACTGATAAAGGCCTTGGGTGTCCAGCATATTTTTCAGCATCCAGTCCGTGGTGCCTGTCGCATGTTGAAAGGCATTCACCCACCAAAACTGCTACTCACCTCACACAGCCCCATTAAATACCTTCTTCTTGGGCGAGAACCGCTCTTTGATCACGCCTGCACTGAGCAACACTGGGGCATGCAGGAGTGCTGACTGCTATTATCCTTGGTACTTGCAGTGAATCTCACGTCCGTGTCTAAGGTTATTTTCGATGAATAGGCAACTGTCGCAAGAGACAGGAGCGACGTCACGGTACTCTCAAGAGTCAAAGTCTTCAATCGAGAACTCACGGCTTCCTGAGTGACCCCAGCAGCATCCGGAAAGAGATGATCACTGTGAACGATGAACTAGCACTCGGTTCCATTGATTTAGTTGTCCCCGGCGCTTCACATAAATTGGATGACCTCCCTTCCATCTATCGAGTGTGTTCTACGTTCCCAACATTTAAATGCGAGACCTCGTCCGTTAACGCGCTAATAGTGTCGTAGATGATTTTATTCCCCTTGTTTCAGAAAAGCAGGGGCAGGCCTGATCAAGGGTGAAGCGGATCAAGTCGGGTGCAGAGAAATATACAGAGGGTGATTTTTATGTTCGACTAAAAGCCCTCCTCCCATGGGAGTCGAGGAGGTGACTTCTAGTGCCAATGCACAGGAACTTTCTACCGTGTTACGTAGGCGAGAAAAACAGCAGTTCGTAAATATTGTATACCTCCCGTAGATATCCACAATTGTCAATTGCAGGCGCTGATCTAAGAAAATCAATGATACCGGAATTTTCCCGGTCGATCGGATTGTTCCGCTCCTCTAGAGCACGACCAATCATATAGTAGCAGCAGCCAAAGTCCAGACTTTGCCGTCTCCTGTGCCTAGCCCCAGGGCAGCGCTTGTAGGCGTTGCTGTGTTAGAGGAGGTGAGAGAATCGCTTGAAGGCAGTGCTCGCAGAAGTAGATGTGGCACGCATCAGCACGCATCCGACGAGGCTGTGGCACAACCCAAACACAGCAAGGGAGTTGCTAAAATCGTGACCTTCTTCACTTCTCATATGCCAGCAGATAGAATGCCGGGAACATAAACCCAGTGCGCACATGATGCACGACGCATGATCATCATGATCGCAACCCAGCATCTGCCGGCAGTTTTGCACTTATATACTGTGCTCCCGAGCCCATTATGAGACGGCATTCCCTCTCTCAAAGAGCCCTTCTCAATCTTCGTGATACGACCTCGTAACGACAGTCAACAATGCGTGCCTCTGCAATCTGCCTCTCAGTCCTATCAATGGCTGCCACCCTTGTCTCATCTCGTCCAAGCGCTTCTTATCATCTGACCCAGTCTTTCCGGGCGCTGTCGCCGTCCAAAAGACAAACCTCCACTCCTTCACAGTGCACCTCAACCTGCGATCCTGTCCAAAGTGAAGTGAACGATGTGAGCTTCATCCCTCGCCTTGCCCGTGTTGATTAGTACTAACTTTCGTCCAGGGATGTCCTATTACCGCATGCTGCACCCAGTCCTTTGAAACAAGCTACTACGACTGCCTCTTATGCGTTGGCACTGCAGATAATGCTACAGATTACTCACAGGCACAAACCGATCTAGACAGTAAGCTCAGCTTCACATGAGTAATGCACATTTGAATCAATCGCCTGACCAATATATACACTAGACCTCTACGTCGCTTGCTACAATAACGGTTATTCACTCCAAGAGCTCACTTTCCCTGGTCAAAACCCATCACGTACTCTCTCAACTTCTTCCCCTGCTGGAACTCCTACCAGTACTTCACCTGCGTCCGTGTCGGTACTTACATCAGTGTCGGCACCTACGTCCATCTCACAGACCACTATATTGCCTTCAAGTACTTCGCCCGCCTCCTCTGGGACGTCGACCTCTGCCAACGGCACTGCGACTTCGTCCACGTCCACGCCTACTAGTACAACCTCAAGTGCTGCGCTGGGGCTAAGCGTAGGAGGAAGCGGGGTCTGGGCTTTGGTTACTGCTGCTATAGGGTTGATCGTGTTGCGGAGTAACTGATTGGGAAATTGCTGTATATTTTTTCTGTGATTCATATATTGTTGGTGCTCGCCAACATAGGACTTGGACAGTCTGGTGCGTTCAGGAGGGCTCAGACAGCTGATTCACACGCACGTAAATAGTATTACCGCTGTAAGTAAAACAGATGTAACTTACGTTGTACGGTCTCGCCTACAATGTTGTACAGTGCTACATTGCCTTACAGTGTCACTCGAGAAGTTTTTGGGCAGGTTGGCTATGCAAAAGTGACTTCTGCTGATGTGTGAATCTCACTCGCATGGTGAAATATTGACGGAATGCATTCATACGCAGCTCTGTCGTCCGTCCATGCTGATGACATTATCTTTAGCATGATAGCTCCGTTAGGACCACTCTCTTCTAGTAGATCTCGAGACATACAGCGCCGAGCGTCTGCATGAGATCTCTGAGATGGGCTGGAGGACTCCGGTGGAGGGGAAGCCTATCAACGCCTACGGTATGTTTCGCATTTTTGTTGAATTGAAAAGTTTGACTCCGATGGTTTTTGTGACGCGTGCCCTGAGCACAAGTCGTCAAACGCCTACCACCGCCACTTATCTGTGCATGTTCGAGGTGCCCTCAGTATGTGGTCGCTAGCAGTCTCTCAAGTCTTCGCTTTGATGCAGCATAGTGAATAATGCCGACAACTCACCTTGTCGTCCAACACTTCAATACTTCAAGTTTCTCGGCCTCGTGCAACACGACTGAATCGGACCGTGGCACTACTCGGAGTTGGACTCGCTGGGATTCCGTGATTTGCGAATGTAGCCCCAGCAAGAAAATGGCTAAAATAACGAGCTCCAGCAAGCCGATTCGACACGAGCACTGAGACTTGGTGGAGCTCTCCGGCTCTTGCGACCGTTCACTGGGGGCATTTGCCAGCAGATTAGAATGACAGGAGCGTAAACTGTATGCGCACATGACGCGTGGTCACCATGTTTGCAACCTGACGCTGGCATCTTTACACTTTTATACTGTGCTACTGGGCCTATATACGGTCTTCCCCCTCCCACGGAGCCCTTCTAACGACAATCAACAGTGCGTGCCTCTGTAATCTGCCTCGTAATCTCATCAGTGGCTACTACCCTTGTCTCATCTCGTCCAAGCGCTTCTTACCTGGCCCAGTCTTTCTGAGCGCTGTCGAGTCCATACAAAAGACAAAGCAGCTCCATTCCTTTACAGTGCACCTCAATATGCGATCCTGTCCAAAATGGATCGGATGCTGTAAGCCTGCATCCCTAACCTTGTCCGTGATGATGTGCTAACTCTCGTCTAGGGATGTCCTATGACCGTATGCTGCACCCAGTCCTTTGAAACAAGCTACTACAGCTGCCTCTCATGCGTCGGCACTGCATTGAATGCTACAGAGTATACACAGGCACAAGCCGATCTAGACCGTAAGCTCAGCTTCACATAAATAAAGCACATCTGAGGCAATCGCTTAATCAACATATACACCAGAACTCTACGTCTCTTGCTACGATTCACTCGAAGAGCTCACTTTCCCTGGTCAAAACTCGTCTCGTACTCTCTCAACTTCTTCTCGTGCTGGAACTTCTACCGTTGTCGGTACCTCACCTGCGTCCGTGTCGATACCTACATTGGTGTTGGCACTTAGATCAGTGCCAGCATCTACACCACTGTCGTCGCCTACATTAGCATCGTCACCTGCACCATCATCGTCGCCTGCACCGTCACCGTCATCTACACCATCGTCGTCACCTACACCATCACCGTCACCTACACCATCATCGTCACCTGCATCACCGGCGGTCCCTGCATCAACGTCGTCAACTACGTGCATCTCGGAGACCACTACCTTCAAGTGCTTCGCCCGCCTCCCCGACCCCTGCCAAAGGCACGGCGTTTTTGTCCACGTCCATGCCTACAGCTTCAAGTGCTGCGCCGGGGCTAAACCCAGGAGGAGGCGGAGCTGGGCTTCTGCCGCCATAGGATTGATCGTGCTTTAGAGAAGCAGAAATAGAACGTTGACCGGGAACACTGCTGTATCATTTTTCTTTACTAGATCGGCGCTCACGAACGTCTTTCCATCTAGTGGATTTGTACAGGTGTTATGCAATGTACAAATTGTGCGAACTTCTTCTGTGAACTCTTGGTTCTCGCCGACATAACACGCCTGACTGACTGAGGACAGGTACAAAATCCCTATGGTACGCACGGGCACGACTAAAATACATCAAACCAAAACCAAAGACCCCATGTACACAAATAGCATCAAACAGCAGACGCTCAGCGCCCAGCATGAGAATATTCACAGCCGGGCATTCTTAGGCATCCTCCTAATAGCCTGTCGCACGCCAAGGTCTCCCAGTACATCTTCCGCACCCGCAAGAATAGCATCGAAAGGTGACGTGCGATGGTACTTGACAAAACATCCGTTAGCATCGTATCGCCAAGGAAGAGCGAAATTCCGGACGTACATTCTCGATGACCTTGCCCATACCCGTGACAGTGATACCCCGACCACCGAAAATCTGGGTTGCGTCCTCGGCGGTTTCACGACCAGCCTTTGACACGAATCTACATTGCAGTCCATCAGTTTAGCACCGGAACGACGGAAGCAGACATACTGTTTGAGCAATGCAATGGGCCCTGCGAGTTTGTCGGATTGATCATGATAAGACATCTATATTTCCCAGTTTAGAGTGATATCAATCAAAGAACCTGGAGACCAACGTTATTCATTTGATACGTGATGTTCTCTACCCATGCTTGGCAGGCTTCCACGCGAGAAATCATCGACGCAAGTTTTGCGCGGACAACTGCCTGAGCATGAAGAGGTTTTCCAAAGGCAATTCGTTGGTTCGTCCACCTTGAAACATCGCACCGTCAGAAAGACTTGAAGAATAACTTGTAATATACTCTTACTTCAAACACTCTTCAACCACAAGTCTTTGCGCGCCGAGACTCGTGGCAGTGACCATCCACCGTTCATGATTAAAGTTGCTCAGGACAATCGACATGCCTTTCCCGACTTGACCCAAGGTATTGGCAACCGGCACGCGTGCCTTGTCAAATGTGATATAGGCAGTCCCAGCAGTCGAGGAGTATGACGTTTTCACCGGTTTGGTGGAAACAGCATCCGAGCGCTCAATGAGCAAAACAACAAACCCGGCCTGTAATGGTGATGAGAACTCAGAAGGGGGCCGACGGAAAAAGTAAACACACGTCTGTTTTACATAGTGTCGTGAAGTAATCCGAAAAGGTCCCATTTGTTATCCACCTGCAACGACCGTGAGTAATCCGTTCTTGAGAAGTAGCTCAAACCATGCATGCGTACTTCTTAGTTCCAGTAACAATCCATTCGTCGCCGTCTCTCACTGCAACAGTTTGCGCGCCGCTGACGTCACTGCCTGCAAACGCTTCTGAGACAGCAAGGGAGATGTACTTCTTACCAGCCAGAATGTCTGGTACGAACTTGGCCTGCTGCTCCAGGGTTCCGAAATTAAGAATAGGAGGGAGGGAAATAACCCCGCCATTCAGGAGGCCGTCCACGAATGCGCGCGTACCAAACCGTGCAATCTCAGTGTTGAGAATGAGCTATAAAGTCATGTGAGTAGGTAAAGAGGATGCTTGGTGAACAGAATGTTTACTTCATGGAAGTAGTCGTATTCTTCAGGCTTCACGATGCCACCCATTAAGGTAAGTCCCTTGAGGTGCTTGCCTGGTCCCAGGCGCATAGCCAGGAAATTTATCTCGCTGTGGCGTCATCAATAACAGAGTTACGCAAACTTCACGCAGGGGAGTTTACCTTAATTTATCCACGACTTCCTGCGATATCCTCTTTCCATTCTCCTCGCATCTGACTGCCTCAGGTTGTACAACTTCCATCAAGAACGCCCTCATAGCCTTGTGGAATTTGCGGTGGTTATCGCTATAGTAGGGGCTGAAGTATCCAGGTGTGAGCCATGTGGGCTCAGCATAGGGCACAAGAGACAGTTCTCCAAGACCAAGAGGCTTGATTGTTTGGGTCTGCCCGCGAATAGCTCCTATTTGGAGACGTGCGTACTGAGGACGTTGGAGAACCTCAAGTCTATGAAGTCCGAAGAACACCTGAGTAGCATCCTTCCCAGCTGGGATCAATATGAACATGAGAGTCGAATCGGGAAGTCGCTGCACTTGCCTACGCCGGCGGCATACAGCACGCCTGCGCCTCCCGGGTGAAGGTCTGCGAAGCGGGATAGGTCATAAACTTTGGAGTCTATGACAATCCACTGTAGATAATTAATAGCAGCTTGATAGACTTAAAGTTATAGCACGCACGAGGTCTCCTTCCTTGTTATGCTGTAAACGTATTCAGCGTCCGCTAGAATGCAAAGCGACAGCTGCCTGGTGCTCACCTGAGCGATATCATCGAGTGTGAACTCTTTAGAAGGCATAATACTGCTGGCAATCTTGCTTTCCTCGTCGATACTGATGCTGGTTCGGATTTAAGAGGCTCGTTTGAACTCGGCTGGACGCTGAGGAATTTCACATAATTGACTCAGTGGACAACCTTACTTTGCCACCGCATATTAAAGCCGTGAGAGTTATTGTGACCGTCTGAATGTTGAACGGAACCTTGAACCTTGCACCACACGTAGTCGCACTTTGTCTAGCACTCAACTAAAGTTTGTATTTATGAACGATTGTAAGCTCTCATCGATCGTTGAGGACCAGCTCCATGAGGTAATGAACATAGTCAAGATACGCCCATTCGGAGATATCGCAATGGCATGGACAATGCTGGGGTGCTTTAGTAGTGCTATCTGCTTCCAGGTTGTTGTATCCCACTTAATCAATGAATCGTTTGACCCGGAGAAGAGTGTTTTTCTATCTGGGGTCCATGCCAGGCAATTCACCATTCGTATGTGTCCATTAAGAGTGGCGACAAGCTCGCCTGCCTTCGCGCCCCAGATTTTGACTGACTCGGAGTCTTCATATTCATCATCCAGGTCCCACTGGTAGTATCCAGCAGTCGC